TCTCTCTCGCTCGCTCGCTCGCTCTTCTCGGTCTTATGTGTTCCAAATTCATTCCCAGTATGAAAATCTATAATTCACGTGTACTATATGCGTGTGTACTATATATTATCAACGCTGATAAATTTTGAAACACAACTTTTGAAGAATATACTCCTTAAGGCTCGCTTCTCTTACTGCAGCTATTGAAGTTTCTTGTACCATATAGCTTTATTTTGTACTTCTTCTTCAAAAACATGATATTTTCATATTCTTAAAACTTGTAAAAAACTACAAAGCAAAATATCTGTCGTATATAATGTAAAAATGTAAAATAATTCCTGAAATAATGACAAACTGCTCAGCTCTCAGAAATCACCAGACTGAATCTAATTGTTTCTCATAGCTGAGCAATAACTATTATTTCAAAAATTATTTTTTTCACTTTTACGCTGATCTATTGGACAGATATTTTACAAGTATTAAGAACACGAAAGTATCATGATTTTAAGGAAAAAGTATAAAATAAAGATACACGGCGCAAGAAATTTTTTGTATGTTATTTCTCGCCTCTGATGTCACATAATCCATGTTGCGCCGCAAGAGAGCCGAGTCTTAAATCAGAAAAAAGAGATACTTTTAATCTTTTTTCCTTTTTTCTTAAAAACATAATCTTTCTACTCTTCTTTGCCTTAATGCAATTCAAGCAAATTTAATAGGAATATAATAGGAATATATGTCAAGAGAATTAACATTAAGTCTCTTTTTTTTCAGCTACTGATTTGTGATAGATTCGAAGACTTGCCCTATGTGTGTGTTTGACATTAAAGAGTCATTATAAAATTGATTATAATAGTGTTATTATAAAATTATATATGTAAGTGTAATTTTTTTATATTTTATGAAATGTTTCAGATACAAAAATAAATAAGTTTTGTAAGATTATTTCCATATTAATAAAAAGACATGTAAAACTTTGATCTTTGAATCATCCCTCCTTCTTCGCTTAATTGATCTCTCTTGGGACTCAGAAACACTGGATGTATTATTTTACCCTTATTATTCATCGAATGTTAAGCGAAAATTAAACAAAAACACAGTATAATCAGTATGGACAATGGAATGCAGGTTTGCGCATATTCACTCATGCAGGCTATATTGTTAGATGCTGTCGATGAAATTGAACAAGACAGGAATGTACAGTAGCAGAACACAGACGAATCATAAGTACAGCATAAGTAGGACTCTTATTTCTCTTTTTTATTTATTAACATGGCAGAATAGTAACATAAGACATAGAAATCAAAGAAAGATACCAATGGGGTAAAATTCATATTAGTTAGTGTGATAAGGACTTAATAAGGAGTTAATGTGACAAGGATAAAATAATACTTGGGTGTACTCAAAGTTATTTTTGAACTCATCTCTGTTTTCTTTTTTTGATCAAGTGATCTGGTAACGCTAACAAACGGCACACTATTTTTCTCTCAGCTCTCTCTTAGCTCTCTCAGCTATCAAGTTGTTTTCATAATGGTAAGTGTTCTAATATATTATAGAGTCTATTAAATAAACTGAAACACTTACCATTGTGAAAGCAGCCAAGCCAAAACAGATAGCATACGCGGACATTGCGCGGCTTTGTTTCTTCAATATACTACGCTATATTATCCCAATGTTTCTGTAATTATATCATTGATGAGACGAAAGTGCTATGTATTATCATAGATCATATTTATGGCACTTATATATTAACATAGATTAATTATATAGTCATATCTGTTATAAAAATTTATTGTTTAATGACATCATTATTCTACGTACTCACACATCATAATCTTATTTAAATGAATACAACTTTTCGCTTGTAAGCTAATATTTTCAGCGTAGTATATGCAAGACTAACAAAACAATCTCCGCTCGCAATCTTATTCCTGTTGAGCAAAATACCTTCTCATAAGTGTTCCAGCATGTTATAGAGTCACTGGAGTAAATTGAAGAATTCATATATCTAAAGTTTTATTCATAATCCTCTTCATTAGGTCGGACTTGAGGGAACCGTCTGAGAACTTGATGCTGTTGCGATTGCGGTCGTCTATGTTGAAGAGGGATGTTGACTTCTTCGGGACTGCGGAATACCTGATTTACTGGGAAACGAAATTGTGGAAGTCCTGTAGGCTGTAAACGAGCTGATGTGGAAATGCTGTTCAAACTTGGCTGTGGATTCACAAGGACCTGTACAAGACCTAACCGTTAACAAGTCAATATACGGTTCATTAAAAGAGGATCGTATATTTATTTTAAATTCGATATGTGAATTAAAAAAAAAATAAAAGCGTGTAATATCGAATATTAAAAACTTAGAAAATAACTTTGATTTAATTTTGTAGCAAAAGCTCTAGTCAGAAATATAGAAATTGTAGAATTTCAAGTTTTACTTCAAAATTTAAAAATATCAAGATATTTTAATATTTAAAAATTTGAGAAATGTGTAACGATGCATCCCCAGCATCGTTCCATCCAATCAATCCACCAAGAGACTGTTCAACCAATTTTCGAGTTATTAAATATGATCCGTAGGACGGATAGGAAGTGTGAGCGGCAATCTTTTGTATTCGACTGTTCCCTTTAAGAGAACATCATAAATGTAGCGAATAACTTGAATGTCCCTTCTAAGGGAACATGAAAGACTGTAAATAATTATAGAAATGTACCAATAATGTTTTATTCTAAATATCATTTAAATAGAATAATTATTTCTAATGTTACACTATTTTATTTGAAATATGTTACTTGTTATTTTATGACTAAATACATTTGAATTGCATGATTTGAACAAATTTCCGAGTGCAAAGAATTAATAGATGAATGATAAATAAACATTAAAATATGTTCTATAAATATTGTGAAAAATATTTATCAAGTTTACATGTATATGACATGTTAACAGAATAATTCTCTTATAATTATAACGTAACATTTTGGACATTTTCTATAAAAAATGTTCATACGAAACATAATAATCTCTATTATAGAATAGAATTTATTTACACTTCTAACATTTACAGCCATAGAAGGGGACTTGATTTACAATTACATCTAACACATTCATTCTTCAAACCTTCGCGATACTTCTATATACATACATATACAAAAACAAACTGATCGTAATAACAATAATAAACTTTACCTATACTAAACTAACTAAATATACCATTCTTAAATATATTCTATTCCTCTCTATTTTATTTCTGCTGCCTTATATTTTATACTTCGCCCTTTACTACCTAATTCTTCTCATTGCCTTTGACCTCTTCCCGTTGTCTTGTTTCTCCTTCACTCTATCTTCTTCTTGTCTCACCTCTTTTTCTTCTAAGTGCTCCATGCTGCGTTCCTTTCATTTTCCTATATTTATTCCATTTCCTGCTCTGCTTCCTCTCTTTTTTTCCTAGTTATTCCAAAAACTTCATCCTCCCTCCTTAATTTCTTTATCTCCTTCTCCTCCTTTTTCTTTCTTTTTGTTTTCTCACAATTAAATCCTCCCATGTTCTTCCTTTCTTCTATATATCTCTCTCTATTTATCTTTCCCTGTCTCCATCTCCTGTAGATCTATTTCTCTTTTTTTCCTTGTAAATTTCCTATCTTGCTAAAACCTGTGCCTTATCACTTTCATATTCCTTCCAGTCTTCTTTCATATCATTGCCTTACATTACTATTTCCGTTATTCCTTCCATTTTATCTTCCTTTTCCTCCTCCTTCTCATCTGTTTCACATAATTCTTCTTTCCTTTCAGTAAACTTTTTTGTTGCTTCTTTGTCTCAATAAATGATTTTCCTCTTCTCTATTCTTGTCTTGTTCCTTTCCTCTTCTCTCCTTCCTCTTCCTTTGTCCTCTTCTGTCTTTACCTTCAGGGTTTTGTCCCTAATCTAAACCCACTCTTTCGCCTATCTTAGAATTTTCCTAATTTTCACTTATTTTCTCGCTCACATAATCTATTACAATACTATCTCTAGCTCCTACATAAATGCTTCGGAATTTCGAATGGATTGATAAACAAAATGCGAAAAAGGATCATGAATATTGGCACGTATTGAGAATTGGAGGAAAGGTGGAAGAAATTACCTAAGAACTAAATAATCCTAAAAAAAGATATTGTTGCTTTGATCGAGATTAAGAAAAATAGAAATGGCACAGAAATCATAAATAACTATATTTACATATATTTAATGGCGTCCTAAATCACCAAAAGGAAAGGAGACGAGTTTCAATTATGATACATAAACAACATCATAAAATAATCGATTTTAAAATAGTGTCTGAGAGCATAATATGAATCAGTATCAAAATACACAAATCAAATACCATAACAATTCTAGGCATATATGCAATCTTTAATGATGAAATCCAATACAAAAGATGAATTTTTAATTTTTTTTTTAAATGTCCTTAACGAGACATCACATAAGTAAGAGGTGACTCTGTGACTCGATATTAATTTTTTTAATTTTCATAATTGTCTACAGCTTTCAAATTTTAATTGATTCTTAACTTTTTTTTTTTTTTAATTAAAGCTTATTCAATTCCGTACAAAGTTATAGAAGCCGATTTTTTAATTTGTGTATTTTCGTTTCACTCAAGATTTGAAGGCTGTAAACAATTATAAAATACGATTTCTGCTTTTTTACTCGGCATTTTGAAACGAAAGTACAATTGAAAAATTGGCTTCCTTAACTTTGTGCGGAATTAAATAAGCTTTAATTTAAAAGAAAAAAATATTAAAATCGGTCAAGATTTATGAGCTCTAGACAATTACGAAACACGATTCCTCATTTGATCCCACTGTGCCGGAGAGAGAGAGAGATATACGGACACAAATAGGATAGAGGATAAGATTTAAGAGCAGGATGAGTGGAAATGGGAAGATATACGGCGATGTAAGATACAAAGCGACGTATTGTTCCGGTGCGAATATTTATAAAAGTTTATGCGGTATGGACTTTTGGCAGGGCGAATGTTCTCTAATTTGATGCATTTCCCTTTGCACTCATTTCGACGAAGAGCTTGGTCGGGAACGCTCGAGAAATGATACTTGGGAGACATCGTTACGTCATGTTGCCAAGAGTATTGTTAGATCTTACATTACAAAAACATGATACAAACGATTATAAAACTGATAATCTATTAAAAAATTCTTAATAACAAAATTCAAAGATAACAAAATTCAAAGATTTTAAAATTACGATAAATTGCGAGAGAAATTACGAGATGATTGTAGCTTCTAGTTTACAACTTCTAATTATAACTTCTGAAGTAATTATTAAAATTAAAAATTAATGATCATACCTGTGGAGCAGGTCGACGCACTGGAGCAGACGTAGGAGTTATCTGATAATCGCCGACTTCCCTTTCGTCTGTATAAATATCAGCGGGATAATACCTTTCACTGTATCTTAAAGTGACATTGGGTTTAGTCTCGGCTTCTTGAAGATTCAATGGCTTATACAAATATTCATTGACAAAATGATATTCCGAGCTCTTCTTACAGCTAATGTCGCCGCTGGGTGGCATGCAGATTAAATGTACCTACAATGAAATAGAATATCTTTTAATTACGTTTGTATAAGTACTGTTTTATTTATATGACTAATATTCTACATTAACATATTATACATTCAGTCAATCACGTTCAGCAGAATATTTATTTTATAATTGTTAGTAGTTTTCTATATTGAGATTATTAAGTTATCTCTCTAGATATAAAAGTATCCAATATTAATATAAAAAACTTCAAACAGTTGCAAAATAAGTATTCTTCTGAATCATTAATATATATTATTATCATATTGCTATCAATGTATTGTTAGTTATGAATGGCATTTATAGTTAATGTGCTGTTATTTATGAGAAATTTATAACACAGGTTACTACGTTGCACAAATCATTTTATTACGAGTTACAAATTAGTATTAATATGTTGTTATCAATTTACTATTGTTAGAATTAAAATTCAATATTACAAACATAATGTCTGTCTTATTTTGTCTCGAGTTTGTCAAAACTAGTTTAACGACCGTTACGTGGTAACCTCACAGCATTTGGCTATCCGAACAAAGAATGAAAGGAAAGAATGTCTATATTCAATTACTTTACTGACCTGGTGAAAAGTGAAACCTTCGGGACAGATCCATGAATGTTTAGCATTGTCTTGACAATAATGAAAGACCTCACAGTTGAGATCTTCATCAGCATAATAACCAGTTTGCTTGTTGACACAATCGAATCTACTTTGGGGTAGAAGAAGACTGAGACGATCGGGCTCCTCCTTTTCTTCTTCGAGTTCTTCTTGAGTCGGTCCATTGGGACCAACTTGAGACTGTCCCCGAGCGGAAGCACGCGGTGGAGAACTAACGCGGATAGCTGTCTGTTGAAGATAATCGCGAGTGTCTATTGGTGTCACCGTTGGCTTTCGGTACAACTGCAATATAAACATATGTAACATACATAATATACATATAACGGTGAAATTGCTTCTTTTTTTACTACTGAAAATAACATAACTCGTTATAACTTGTTATTGAAATATTATCATTCGTTTTGGTAATATATTTCTATTTGAAAAATAGATGGTCAACATTATAGTTAATAATTATAGATTTTTACATACTAACTTTGTCGCTTATATTAAAGCTAAGTTTTGTGGAGAAGTTACATTTTGGTGATATACTTAACATATAAAAATTGGGAAGAAAGAATAATAAAAAATTTTTAATTTTTTTGGAAAATCTAAATATGCAATTACAAAGAATATTATTACTACTTTTGTCTAAAATTTTTCTTCATAATATCTAATATATCTACTGTATTTTTATGTAATATTTGTTTATAACAAAATTCGGTCGGATTAAAATATTTCAAATCTAAAAATTCAAAGCAATCGTATAAAAAATACGTGTCTCTTAAATTTTTGTATTCAACACATTTCAAAAAGAATCAAATTGATGTTGGACTTCTCTTATCAATAAAAATGGACATAAACTATCTTTAAGTTATTTTTAAGTTTTTTGTAAAGTGAGATGTATAAGCACTACTCACACACACACACACACACACACACACACACACACACACACACACACACACACACACACACACAGACGTGCGCGCGCGCATTTTAAAGTTAAACAATTCAATAATGATTTGCGGTTATTATGTTTAAGCGAATATTTATAATCCTATTCGGAAGCAGTTAATTTTACTAAGGTCTACACATATAAGAGATAAATAAATAACTTAATGAAAATAAAAACAAAAATAATATATATTTAAATGTGATAATTATATATATAATTTTAAAACTAACCGGTTGTTGATTAGGATTTCTAAAAATTGGCGCCGATGACGGGGTGGGTGTCACTGCATTATCCTCGTAACTATTATCACGAAATCCTTGTGCTGAACTTAAGCCAGGCGAATAAAGTGGTCCTAAGCTACTTGGTTTTCCGGGAAATGAAACAGCTCTAGTTTCTAAATCATAAGAATTCTGCGCCGCAATAGCATAACCAAACAGCCCCAACAGAAATACCCAATACATCCTGTAAAATACGAAAAATAATGCTCATAATTTAGCACATCAAGAAAATTATTAAATAATATTTTAAGTAATTTAAGTAAATGCTACAATCAATTATGAAAAAGATTCAAAATTTTAAGTAATAGAACAGAGGAAGCAATTATTTGGTGAACTCGATTTTAGAAAAGTAAAAATTTTTCTTTTTTATTGAATTTATACGTACAAATTCAGAATTAATTGCTTATGTTGCGTTATTTTTAACGGACTTATGACGCAACAATTCAAAGCTATTTAATAAAGCGATAATTGGAAATCGAACCTTCCTAGTTTATTTTATGTGAAAGAGGATTTGAAAAAAATGGTTTGCAAAAAACTAAAGAATTATAATCAAAGATAAATATTAATAAAGTAATATTTGCCTTAATTACCATATTATATTCAAAAATAAATATTTTGAGATATTACATAATAAACTATTATGTAAAATCTGATTTATGCATACGCGTATTACACATTTACTACATTTATATATTGCTATAATTACTTATTAGCCTATTGCTGTTAAATACTTAAGTTTATTTATGACTGTATATATAATATTTAATATCGTGATAAATTATTATTATTATGGTCAATTATTATGATAAATATAATTATTACAACAATTATTATTATCAAATATAAGAAATGTCACATCAAAGAATATTGTAACAGAATTATGATATAAAAATAAATCAATTATTAGCAATAAATAATATAGGAAATAAGAAATATTAAAATAATTTGTTTTAGTAAATAAATTTATAAAAAATCATTAAATTATGCTATTTGTATTTTCGAGTCAATCTTTTTTTATATTTAATATTTATTATTTATTTTTCTTTTCGTGTTTTACTATCACATTTTTTTTACTTTTGTTTTAAATCTTTTTACTTTCATTATAATTTAAAGTAAAATAATAAGTTTTCTTCCAAATGTAAATTATATAAAATATAATTTGATTGTCTAAATTGTGATGAACTAAAAGATTTATACATCATATTGCGTCGATTACAAACATAAAGGAATATTTTATTATTTACACATGTTTTATATTTCTGTTTATAATTAATTAATATTTCAAAAATAATTAACAATCTTACTTTTTTATTTTTTTATTTATAGCATACAAATTTGAAAATTTTTATGCATTTAAGTATGACTTTTTCGTTTAGAAAAATAAAAAAATCTTCACATTGCATAAATAAATTAAATTCAAGACATTTCATATCAGAATATATTTAAAGATATATAAAGAAATGTAAAAATATATCAAATTTTTTCAAATTCTAGAAATTAAAAGTTTTAAGACCTTGATATTAGGAAATGTATATAAGATTTTAAGAAACTTGTTAATACTAAACATTCATTGACCGAACAAAAATTCTTGATGTCATTTATATTATTGTCCCCTGTTTCAATTTTGGTACTAAAGCAATTAGAAACTAACTTTCCAAGTGTATGCATGCTACATGTCACGTTCGGCAATTATTATGGAAAGCAATTGAACTCATTGAGCACGTCATCATTATGACCGAAATGGCTTTAAGTGATTGTGAAACCGCTGTCCGAGTTTTGCTTACATAGAAAGTAACACGCTTTCCTTGCACTTACTTTTTGTATGATCAAAATCGATTCTTCTATTCAACTTTACTACTGATCGCATGATTATTCAGCGAATTTCTTTTTGCCATGAAGTCACTTTCGGATGACGTATCCGTTTTACATATAAGTCTACTCTATATACAAGTGTTTTTATGTGCTGATAAAATTGTAAGTTTTATTTAATCCGCATTTTTTTATTTTAGAGAATACTTAATTCGAATTAATTTAATTAAATATCGAATATACAAATCTACAATTAAACAAGAAAGATAAAAAAATTAATAAAGAGATGATCAAAAGACGTAACACACGATTATAAAAATAAGATCTATTTAATGAAAATAAGATGCATTTAATTTCAAATGAAGGATAAATGAAAAGTATAATATTTCGGAAAATAAGCATTTCCGAAAAAAATGTTTCATATAAGAGTTGTAGGCTTTCGTCGATAGGGTCATATAATTATGATACTAATTCATTCGCAAATAAAGTTACTGTTAATATTTTTTATGGTTATCATTTTTTTAAATGTAATCATTAAATATAATCATTTTTGTTATGTAATATGCCTCCTTTAATCATTCTGAATATAAAGATATTAAGATACAATTATCAAAGAATTAACAATTGAATAGATATTTTATACATCATTTTAATATATTTTGATATGAAATATTTCAAAAACTATTTAATTTTTTATAACCGTACCTTAATAATTTATGCATAAAATAATACGAGAAATCGTTTAATATAAAGAAAGTACTTGTATATTGTCAATTGTAATTTTTTTTTTAAAGTAAGTATACGGAGCGTTCGATTTCTAATTGTACACCGCTTGTGTATCATTAGAAATCAGACACCAGGTAAAGCGGGTCAGACTGAGCAGAAAAATCCTTTGTCATGTTTTGCAATTTTTGCAATTGGTAATGAGTTATTAATTATTAAAAATTACCGAATAAGTGTATGTATCTACTCAGCTCATTGGTAAGTGCCAAAATACCGAAATGTGACCGCCTAACATTATGCGCGCTTTTTAGGAACGCGATGAAATATTTGAAGATTTAAGCAGATGTTATAATTATAAGCAGATGTTTTGTCATTTATAGACTTCACCTCTAAATATTTCGTCGTGCTCCTATCAATCACGAAACGGACGTTTTAATGTTGGGCGGTTGTACCTCATCTCACGCTTGCATTTGTCGATGGGCTAGGCGGATATGCGCTCATTTGACGATTTTTAATGATTAACTCATTAATAAGTCATTAATTAATAACTCATTAATTAAGAACATTGGAAAAAAGGGAGACACTTTTGCTCAGTTCGAATCGCTCTACTTGTACACGATCGTTGTAAATCGTTTCAAATCAGACATCCCGTATATTTAATCTTAAATCTATATTTAATCTAGAAATCTGTGTATTTAAATTCTTCTTAAATTCGATCGTCACGAGTAATCGCGGTTCAACGATCTAGCTGATCTAGTTAATTCTAGTTAATCGTTTTTATCTGTTGGATTGGTTTCTCCAATTTTATTTTATTATTAGAAAAATTACGGAAACTTTCTCCATCGAGCTGACCGTATGAATGATTATTACTGCAGATATGATCTTTGTTAACGATGTATCATTATCTTTTTAATGAAATTTACACACACACCACACACACACACACACACACACACACACACACACACACACGCACGCACGCACGCATACACGAAGGAGGGAAAGGAAGAGGGAAAGGAAAAGGGAGAGAAAAAGAGAGGAGGGAGAAAAAGAGGGGGAGCGCTGAAGAATGTTTTTCTCGCGATAACTGTATTATACGTATAAAGGGAATATTGCATAATGGAAAAAAGATAGTCATTTGGTTAGTTAGCTATGAAAAATAGCTATAGTATAGTACTACGGTTGGGAAATAACGCATTACTTCTAATGTTTTTATCATTACAGTTATTTTTTTTGCTAACAAACGTTACTTTATTTAGTAATTTTGTAACGCTAATATAGTTACATTTTTTCAGTAATAATAACTAATGTAATAATTACCTTCATCGTTATTTTTTTATATTTCTAATCTATTTGTGATATAATTTTTGTATATTCGATCGTTCGTTGTAGATTTAATGTTCAATCTTCGATTAATTCATAACATTAGTTCATAATTTATTGTTACTTAAGACTCTCTTTAACCGAGCGCGCCGCGGCACTGAGTGTCGCAAAATTTATTTTTCTGAAAAATCATTGATAATGCAGGTCTTTTTTCTATTCTCGATCTTCTGTATTACGGCAATAATTACGAATGAGCCGCTTGAAGCTAACAATTTCTCACGTGCTCATCAACGATGATCGCCGGGCTAATACATGATTTTTAATAATTAATATCTCGATTATTATTGCAAATATCACAAAATGACATAGGACTTTTATATTCATCTCGGTCCCATCTGTTTTTTTATGAAACGAATGGTGGCAGAAGTCTCGCAGAACACTCTGTATATGTTTATATATTTAATCTAATATCGATTATTAATTATACACTGAGAAAAAAATGCTGTTGAATCAATAGCATAGTTTAAATTGGAAATAATTTTGGTAATTCAATGACATTATTAATGAAACAGTATATCATGTTCTTGTTTTAATAATCAAGATCTTCGTTTCATTAATAATGTCATTGAATTAACAAAATTATTTCCAATTAGACTAATGCTGTTGAGTTTTTTCAGTTTCTCAGTTATTTACTTATCGATTTATATTTCAAAAGCCTTGATAGCTATATCTATTTATATCTATTTATTATTTATCTATTGACTATTATATTATAATCTTGATATTATTTCATTTCATTGCACACACTTTTCACAACTAAGCTAATAATAAAAGCAATATTTTATTATAATGCGTTACGTTAATCTGCAAATATGCGATTGAAAACGGGAAGAAAAATGAATTCGAACGTGTGCAATGGTGTGTTACAGAAGTACTTTCTCTAAGGCAGCAACATTGTTTCAAGTCGAAACTCATATGTCAAGAGATCACAGGAACTCGCTAACTCCATTAAAAATTTCATAAAATTAACTCGGTCACGCACGATAGAACAAGAATTATGACACGTGCCTGATAAGCAACCAATAAGAACCGGTTAGATGTACTGCGAAATCATTTGCGAGACAAGGAAGTTAAGTATTTAAGACACATTTATTTCGAAAGCAAAATCGATAATCTTACCGCATACCGATCATATTTTCAGATGTTAATCAAGTATTCATCTATTCAACATTCATTATTTGAAATAATTAAAAATATAGTTAACATTTTATAAAGAAAATAATTTGAAAACCAATAATTAAAAATTTGAAATTAGTAACTTAAAAATTATTCACT